GAATTCTAAGTGATGATCCTGTTGTTGGATGGACTCTCGTGAATAAGAATTCCCAGCTCCTCAATAATGATTCTGTTCTCTATTTAACTATGCAAGGGCATGTTAGATTCTTTTGAGAAGCATCATCTTCCCAAAAGACTAAGGTTAAAAATGCAATGTAAACTCAGAGCACAAAGGGTAAGCTTTAGTCAAACAGTGCTAATGAATGATTTTGAACCATTACTTTGTGATGAGGTTTCAAAATAGAGCCTTTCCTTTTGTGCTGACAGTAGCCATAAGAAGTTGTTTTTTAATTATATATACATGCATGCATATATATATATATATATAATGTATTTTTGATGGGGAGAGAGGTCTAGATTTGTAGCTCAGTCTGATCTTGAACTCATGATTCCTTATGTATCATTTCTGGGAATTCTGGTATTACAGGTGTGTATCACCATGCCCAGTGAGATCATTGTTCTTACTCCCATTATATAGAGAGGAAGAGTTTGAGACTTGGGGAGTTAATGTATTAGCTTTAATTAAATCAGTAGAAAGAACTAGTTTACTTGGAATTAATTTTGTTTTCCCTTAAGGATGGTTTGTTTGGGAATTTTCATAACTTGTCTCTCTTGTTCATTTTAAGCTTAAATGTCAATCACTCAGACATTGCACATAATAATACTTCAGGTTTAAAATTTTTGCCTTATATTTAAGTAGTTGGGCAAAGAGGCTTCCAGTCCACGTCAATTTATGAATACAGGGCACCTTGATCAATGTCACCCCTGGAAGTGATACCTTGCTGTTCTGAATGTTTGAAATTAATAAAGTCAGTATTTTTACAATAAATACTTATTAAAAGCAAAAAACAAAAAAAGAAATTAATAAAGTCATCAGTAATTATTTCTTCTTTGCATTTCTCATGACTGGATTCTTTTGCCTTGAACATGTCGGCACCTATTGGACATGATAGCCTAGCTCACTGGGATGGTCTGTTTGATTTTTCTCAAATGAATAAAAGGTACACAGTATTGTTGTTGATGTTGTGTTTGAGACAGAGACTTACTGTGTATCCTGGGCTGGCCTTAAACTTGAGATCCTCCTGACTTTGCCTCCTGAGTGTTGGATTACAGGCACGTGCACCATACCCAGCTTAGTGATACTGTGTTATTGAGGGAAAATTGTGGTAACTGAATAATGAAATGACCAGGAACCTAGTATTGCTATGACTAACAATTGGGATGATGATATAATAACGCTATAATAATAAATGTGGTAGCAACACCTGCCTTTTCAATCCTCTTGTTGGGAAGATCAAAGAAAATGATACAATGAATACTCTCCGGGAATTTACTCTGTCATTACAGGAATATGCTACTGAAGGGAATGTTTACATGGGTTACCAAGTTTTGGTTTTGTTGGTAATTATCTTTGGTTGATTTCAACTGAATGTATCATTAGAATTTTACCTATAACTTTCAAGATGATATGAATTTACTTATTTGATTATCTTAGGATCAGATGGACTGGCTTATGTCTGGAGTTCCTTTTTCCTTCTCCCCCTTTCCTTTCCCGCCCCCTCCCCTCCCCTCCCCCTCCCCTCTCCTCTCTCCCATTCCCTCCCTCCTTCCTTCCCATCTCTCCTCTTCCCTCCTTTCCCCTTCCCTACACTCTTCTCTCTCCTCCCTTCCACTCCTTTCTCCCCCTCCCTCCCCTCTCCCTCTCTCTCCTCTCCCCTCCCCCCTTTTCTTTCCCTCCTTCTCCTGTCTCCCTTCTCCCCTTCTCTTCTCTTCTCTCTTGCTTCTCCTTTCCTCTCCTCCTCTCCTCTCCCTTCCTCTTTCTTCTTCCCTTCCTCCTCTCTCCCTTCTCCTCTCCCTGCTTCTCCCTTCTCCTCCCTTCTCCCCTCCCATCTCCTCTCCCCTTCACTCTTCTCTTCTCCTCTCCTTTCCTCTCCTCTCCCCTCTCTCCTCCTGCCCCATCCTTTCTCTCTTTCCTTCCTTTCTTCTCTTCCCCTCCCTCTCCTCTCCCCTTCCTTTTCATTCCCCTCTCCACTTCCCTCTCTCTCTCCCCCTCCTCTCCTTTCTTCCCCTTTCTTTTCCATTCTTTCTTCTTCATCCCAGGATCTGGAACTGAACAGAGGTGTTTTACCTAGCTTCCTTAAGACAAGCAAATTAGTTAAAGTCTCTAAATCAATTTTCTTATCTGCAAAAAGAGATTTATTATAATTTCCGTATGGATGAACACCCCTGGTGTGTGAAATGACTTTTGTTACATTGCACCTAGCACATTGGTATTATTATTTTGAATCCACAGTTGACAGGATACAAACAAGGACACAGGTGAAGGAAACTCTCTCATGTCCTAGATCCCGTCCAGCCCTCTGAAGCCCAGCGTCTATAACCCTACCTATCCACTAGGGTTGCACTTGCCCCCTGTCTAATGTAGACATCTGTGCCATCTAATTGTTCACATAGCATTAACTGTGTTAGAGTGTCAGTAGAATTACTAAGGGTTGACTTACATGATTTAAGATCTAAACATAATTACTATATTTTTAAACTATGTTACAATGTTTATTGAGGGGGAAAAACCAAAATAAGACTAATATTGTTCATATAGCATTAACTGTGTTAGAGTGTCAGTAGAATTACTAAGGGTTGACTTACATGATTTAAGATCTAAACATAATTACTATATTTTTAAACTATGTTACAATGTTTATTGAGGGGGAAAAACCAAAATAAGACTAATATTCTTCTTTTCCTTTAAATCTCTGCCTCTGTGGAGACTTTTTTTTTTTAGTCTGAAGAGCCTAGGCTCATTTCTGGAAAGTATTTACTTGTTTCAGAAATACTGCCCAGGGCTGGGAATGTGGTTTAGTGATATAGAGTGCTTGCCTAGTATGCAAGGAGCCCTGGGTTCGATTCCTCAGTGCCACATAAACAGAAAAAGCCATAAGTGGCACTGTGGCTCAAGTGGCAGTGTATTATCCTTGAGCAGAAGAAGCTTAAGGACAGTGCCCAGGCCCCATGATGGACTAAAAAAAGAAAAAGCAAAAGCAATAGTGCCCAAAGTGGCCTGTTTAGGTCCTTAGGTATTTCACATCAAATGATCAAGTCTCATGATGTTGCTCAGGATGCGCTCAAGGATCTCCCTGTCTTGGTCTTCCCAGTAGCTGGGACTATAGGTGTACAGATCTCTGCCTAGTCTTTCCCTTTTTTTGTTTTGTTTTTACTTTTTTTTTAAACAGTGCTTTCAAGCCCTTCTGGTTTCAAATACCTCACTGAAGCTGCCATCTTGTTCAAGGAAGAAAGGCATTGCTGCAGTGTTGGTCTTTCCAGGGCATTTCCTGTGTCTGTCCAGTTAAGTTACCCTGAACTGTGCCAGTGGCTGGGTGTGGGTCTTGTGTCAGTGTGCCCCGGTAGTGCTTGCTTGTAAGTAGCAAAAGCAGAGACTCCTTTTCTTGCTCCTTGGCAGGAGACTTCAGTCTAGAAACCATGATCTGGCTCTGTACTGTTCAGGGCAGCTTGCTGGTGAGGCAACCCCAGGAGGAGGCAACAGTCAGGCTTTGCCTTGGGCAGGAAGCCCTGGCCAGTGTCTGACTGGCCTCATTCATAAAATCCGTGCAAAGTCACAGTCTGTATGTGTGGTTGGATGCCCTACAAGCGAATCCTCGACTAAGTGACAGCTTCCAGATGTTTCCTGTGGAGCCCAGGCCACAGGAGCTTATTTTTCTTTGTCTTTCTACCCATCAGCCCAGGGGCCTGCATTCCTAACAGCTCATATCCAGCATTTCAAAAGATTTCCAAGATGTTCTCAGATTCCTTCTCCCTTTTTCCTCCTCGTTTTCCTTTCCCCCCTCTGCCCTTCCTTTCCTTTCTCTCTCTCTTCTACTCTCCCCTCCTTTCCCTCTTTTTCTAGAGATATAGTATCTCTCTACGTTGCCCTAGCTGATTTCCAACTTCGGGACTCAAGTGATTTTCCTATCTCAGCCTCACTATAAACTGGAACTATAGGTGTGCCTTACCACGCCCAGGTTAAGATTTTATTTAAACATTGTGTGTGTGTGTGTGTGTGTGTGTGTGTGTGTGCGCGCGTGCGTGTGTTGTTTCTCAAAATCCAGTTCCTACTGGAAATATTTTCTGAGCAACAGGGAGTGACACCTGGGGTCTGGGGCCAGAAATACAAAGGGACAAGGCACCCTTGTTGAGGACCGGTGACATGCAAATAACTGGCGATCACCCTGTACAGAAGGTAACAGTGACCACTGTTTCTTGCAAGGACAGACTAATTCCAGGGAAGGAAGCTCATGAGAAGCTAGCAGCTCCGGGTCTTGGCTTGGGTGCCGCAGGGAGGTATAGAAAGGCGCTCTGGGTGCAGAGGCACGGTGCTGGCTAGTAAGTAAGAGGTGGGGGCGGAGGTCCCCTCTGTCTTGAAGGATTGGGAACTTTTGGGGTGAGGTGGGTGGGAAGTTGGGGGGGGTAAGAGGGCGTGGCACCTGCGGTGAACCCCGCGGGGGCAGGGCCGCTCCGAGGAGGAGAGCTCGTGGGTGGCTGTGGGTCCCTTCCTTCCGTGGGGAAATGGGACAGGGAAGTAGAGGGAGTGGGGGAAGGATGGAGGAAGAACGGGGGTGGGGTGGGGCGGGGGTCGTCCCCGCCGCTGGACCCCGCGCCACCTGCTGCGGGGCGCCGGCAGGAGGCGCTTTCCGTCTGCCAGCTCTGGTTAAGGCGGGGCGCTCGGGAGGGGGGGGGGCCGGGCTCCCCACTTTCCCTCCTCCCGGGGCCGTCCAGGGCCAATGGGCGGCGAGAGGAGTGGAGCGGGAAGCGGAGCGAGCCGGGGCCCGGCCCTCCCGCGCGCCCCCCCCCCATCCCCACCCCGTGGCCCCAGCACCGAGGCCAAGTTTGCGCCGTCCCCTCCCCCCCGGAGGTTCGCGCTGCTGCCCGCGGCTCGCGCCCGGGCTTCCCGCTCGCTGCCCGCCAGCCCGGCGATCGCGCGCCCTCGGTGCCGCCACTGCCCCGCGCCTGGGCGGGAGGTCGCCGAGCCGGGTGGCTGCGCGCCCTGGCCGGGATGCAGGATGGCAACGGAGCCGCCGCCGTCCAGCCTCTCCTTCCGCACCACGGGCTCCACCTGTCTGCACCCGCTCAGCGAGCTCCTAGCCATCCCGCTGGACCAGGTAACCGGCGGGGCGGGGGGCGGGCGGGGGGGGGGGGGGACACGGTCTTCCCCAGCACCTTCCCGGTGCTGGGACCCTCCCCTCCCCCAGCTCCGGCAGCGATCGCGGGGTGCGGGCAAAGCCTGGGGTGAGGGAAGACTTAAACTCTGTCTCCATCCCCTGCCCCATGTCCCAGGGCAGCATACAGTTGGGCTTATTATTATTATTATTATTATTATTGGTAATTTTCCAAGTGTGAGAAATAGTCGTACGTACGACCAGGCACGTTCGACTCAACGTTTTCAAGTTGTGGGTTTGGAGTCACCTTCTGAAGTCTGATACTCGAATGGAGGGCACTTGGCCATCAGTGTGATCCGATTGATTTAGGTGGCGCTTGATCCATCTGTAGACCGTAGGCTGTGGGTTCCAAATGACCCGAGTTTAAACTTCAGCTGCGAAGTCTTGTCCAATCAGGTGAGGGCGATTTTCTATCCTGTGTGATAATCATTGAAAGCGGAGGAGGGACTCACCAGGAGCCTTTGGTCCTGGGAAGGCCTTAATTTACCCATTCTGTTTCACGCTGGCATTGGAGGCTCCGGAGCTGGGGCAGGCGAGGGGGAGAGAAAGGGCAAAAATTGGAATGTCCAGGAACTGTCTGCTACAGTTAGAACTAAAACTGGCAACTGCAGTCTGGCAAGAAATCTTCCTGGTAGTGGAGACTCTCTCACATATTTTGTTTCTTTTGGTGCCTCAGGCTAGATCAAGCTGTGTTTTTAATAGTGACTCAATAGTGGATTTAAGTGGAATTGGGCAGGGCTGGCTACAGAAGGGCCAACTGCTCTCCTGTGTTTTGATTCCTGCTCAGTTTCTGTCCTGTCACCACAGCTCAATTTTCTTTTCTTCAAACCAGATCTTTCCTGCTGCCCTTTCCACTTACATTCCTCCAGCAATGAGGAAGTGGTAGTACCTGGCTGGTTGCCTTGCTCACTACTGTTTACTGATCCACCCATGTCTCCTGCTCACTGAGGATCTTACTGCTGCCTTCTGGGTTGCAAAATCCAGAAAAAAGCAGGAACTGGGGAGTGGTGTCAAATGAGAAGGCATTTCTGCTTGTGCCTGTTACTCTTCAGTTTGTAGTGAAGATAGAGGTGACTCAGTGACCCCGAGACCCAGGTAGAAACAAACACCCCAGAAAGTTCTTTAGCTTGGAAATGAAATACTTTAAATTCATGGCTGAATTTCCTTGATGGGTGTATATTGCTGTACTAACGTCTCCACCTTCCATTAGAATTTTATGCTTTGTTTATATGCCAGACACCATGCTTGGCTTGTTTTGCAAATAGGATCTTCCTAACTCGATTCTACCTCCATGCCCAATCTCCTGGATTTCTGTAAGAGTAATCACTTCTTAATTTATAAATAGGAGTAAAGAAGCCTTGCAGATGTTAACGATTTCAGTTTACTTCTAGGATGAACTCAAGGAAAAAAAATGTTGCTGCTTGGAAGAAACACTTGAGATCTCTTAGATCTCTTAGCTTGACCATCCTTCTGCAGGGTCAAGTCGGAGTGACTCTTTGTAGAACAAGAACCTAATGGGAGGGACAATGCCCTGGGAGGCTTATTTTAGGAGAGAGAATCCCAAACCACAAATAAGGTAGGCTCTGTGAGCTGGGTACTGGTGGCTCACGCCTGTAATCCTAACTACTCAGGATGCTGAGATCTGAGGATCGTGGTTCAAAGTCAGCCCAGCAGGTCTGTGAGACTCTTATCTCCAGTAAACCACCAGAAAACTGGAAGTGGCGCTGTGGCTCAAGCAGTAGAGTGCTCACCTTGAGCTGAAGAGCGCAGGGACAGCCCCCAAGCCCAGAGTTTGAGCCTCACCACCACCACCAACAACAACAAAAAGGCTCGTGATAGTGAAGGAATTGGAAGCTTTGTCATTTGTCTCCTAATTTCCATGGCTTTCTCAGTGCTTAGGTGTTAGTCCCAACTGGAGGAATTCCTGCTTTGCCAGCCTATGCCCTCTGTGACTTCTGGCTGGTGCTGGAGCCCCTTAAGTTCTCATGTGTGATATAAGATCTCATGGAGGTGTGTTTGTGAGAATTGTGTATAAAAATGACCTATATCAGGAAGATCCATGTATCTGATGGTGTTGGTAAAGAACAAAACTGAAATGACTAGCAGGATGTGGGCAGGGTTAAAGGAGCCATACAAGGGTATTGAATGACCCATACTTGAAAGCTGGGACAGGAAGAGGTAGGAAGGAGGAGGAAATCCATTGTTATCACCCAGTAAGAAGAACTGAACCATTCCCTTCACCCCAATGTGGTGGGGTGGCAGAGAGAATCCCAGCCTTTGCACCCCATAGGCCGTTAACCTCTCACCAGGGTCTTGTGGTTGTCTGACCCATCCAAGATGGGCTGATCTTGCCTTCTGGTGATTTGTCTGCAGGAGCTCCTGATGGAGAAGAGAAGATAAAGCCAGAGTGACAGGGACCCCTGAGAATAAGAGCACAGGCCTTGATAAATCATGGTTTGGCTGCAATATGCTACAAATGATAAAACATGGTTTTACCCAGATATCCACTTCTTGCACAATCTTCCTTACTTCTGTTCATTATGTCTGATTCTTAGCTTCTAATCTTCCTGTGTCACATAGCTATGATTCTGATCTGTTGACTTTTGAGCATTCTTACATAGGAAAGCCTGTGTGTGGGTAAGTCTATAGAGTGGAAGAGTGTATGGTTTCTGCTTATGGAGAATGACATGTTCATACTGCTGTGACTTTTAAAAGCATTTTACTTAATTTCAGACACAGAGCAGGGAGAGTTTGATACACAGTAGAGCAAATGGGTGCTACCTTTGGGATTTCTCTAGGTGCGAGAAGTTTGTTGATGAGTGCTTGTAGAGAATTCCTGTTCTCAGAGCAGATGGAGCTCTAGTAGTTGGTAGGAGGATGTAGAGAAAAAGCTTCAGTTACTCAGGATAAATTAGGCAAACAAACAAACAACGACAACAACCCCCAAAGCAGTTGTATCCTATTTATGGGGAATTAAGGAGTGATGGATGAATCGATTCTCTCTCTCTCTCTCTCTCTCTCTCTCTCTCTCTCTCTCTCTCTCTCTCTCCCCCCTCCTTTGTCTGTAGTGGGATTTGAATTTAGTGATTTATGCTTGCTAAGCAGATTCCCTCCCACTTAAACCATAGCCCCAGCGCCTGCTCTCTTTTTTATTTTAGCTCCTTTGCTCAGGCCCTGTATAGTATGTTTGGTTGTGGAGGATGTTCTGTCTTTAAACTAACCATAGCCTTCTAAATTTGCAAGGTGGACTCAGTTACCAGAATGGATACTGTAATGTTACTAATTTATGTGGCTCCTGATTGTGTATTGGAAACTAGGAAAGCTGAAAAGGAAACTTTCCAGGCTATAAGGAATTTCTAATTTAGTGGTGGTAAGTTCTAGCTAGTGTCAAGGATCTCTTTACAGAAAATGGCCCTAAATCTGGTGTGTGAATGAAAAGTATCCTCTCTCTCTCTCCTCTCTCTCTCTCTCTCTCTTTCTCTCTCTTCCCCCCCCCCCCCACCATGTGTACTTGCATTTGCACTCAGACCTTGGAAGGTGCTTTGCCACCTGAGCCATACCTTCAGCCCTTTTTGCCATAGTCTATGTTCCAGGTAAATTCCTGGGCTCCTGTCCAGGGCTGGCCTGAGGCCTGGACCCTCCTTTTTCTGTCTCCCATGTACCTAGGAGGTATGTTTTACACCAGCCTTTTCTTTTGTAGGGGGAAATCTAGATACCTTTTTTTTTTTTTTTTTTTTAACCCCAGGCTGACCTGGAAACCTAATTGTCCCATCTCTCTTTCATAGCTGAAATTATAGCCATGTACCACTATGCTTATGCTTGGCCCTCAATTTTCAATCTTGACACCACAATTCTTGTAATTCTTCCTCCCTCCCCGCTTCAGGTTAGCATCTGCAGAAGACAGGGACAATAGAATTTATTTAATTGGAGACAAAGGAAATAAACATCTAGAAAATGATGGAAATAGAAAAGCTTTAGGAGTATTAGCATAAAACTTGGGGTTACAGTTAATACACATTCTCGATGAGTGAAGACCATTTTTGAAGACCTGGCTCCCTGGACTGAGGATAATATCAGCAGTGGGGTTGTGGAGTTTCAGTTGGTGTTGGTGACTCAGGTGTCAGTCACGTAGTTATTGCCCTTGCCCTTGCTTGGAAATTTCAGCCTCCAATTCTTGGCTTATCTAAGTTTTGCCCTTCCTTAAAAGCTCACCTCACATTCCCCAGTCATTATGGGACCAGTTAAATATTGATTTACTCCTATTAGTACCAGGTACCTGGTCTTATGGTAGAGATAGAAAGCTGGAAAAGCCCAAGCTTCCCACCCTAGAAGAACCTGTAAAACCAACAGGGAGACAAGGGGCCCATGTGAGCATACAGGTGTATACTTGTTGACCTGTGTAGGTGTGGCACAGCAGAAGGGAGAAGGCAAACCCACAGGACACACTGGACTTGTGTGGAATTCAGTGTCACACTGCACACAATGACTTACAACAATGTTACAGCAAATGTTGTGTATATGGTTTCATGTGCTGACTTCAAACTGATGTGTCTTATAACTCAAGGTTTTGCCGTCTTCCCCTGCCTCCCAATCCCCTGCCTTTGCTTTGTGCCAGTGCTGGAGCTTGAACTCAGGACCTCTTATTAATTCTTCCTTAGTGTATTTTTTGTTTGTTTGCTTTTGCCTTTGAACATGATTTTATTTTATCATTACCCTCTCCCACTTTCCCTGTACCAGTCCACTCCCCTGCAAATTGTAAAGTTCATTTCCAATGTAGTGTCTAGTGAATTATCACCGCTGCATTGCTTCAGCTTTTTTCATTCCAGGCTGGTAGTCTACCACTTGATCCACATCTCCTCCACGTCTGGCATTTTGCATGGCTTTCAATCACAATCCTTTCCTATCTACCTTCTTACCTACCTTCTTTTCCCTTGAAGCTGGGA